ATACTTTGTGGCAAGTTTAATTGAAACTGGCCCAGTGGTTCTTGAGAAGAAAAGTGAAAAGTTTACGACGACGACGACAGACAACGGACAAATTTTGATCAGAATAGCCCACTTGAGCCTTCGGCTCATGTCACCTACATGTAAAATCATACAAGAATTTCTAATGTTTTATACAAAAAAATACTTTCATTATTTTTGAATGGTCATGTAAATTTGTAAATAATATATAAGTAAAACAAGACGAAAATACATTAAATATTTTTCAAAGACTAAAAGAGGCCAATGTTAAAGAATATGATTGGTTACTAAAAATGCCCAGGGCCTGTTGTTATGAGCGGTGATATTGACAAATTGACAAATGTATTAGCACTGTTTACTACAGGCAGGTAAATCGATATACCTTATGATTTATTACTGAGTATATATATTCTTAATAGTTGATCATTAAATTTCTCTTGCTTTTGGTTTACATATCTTAATCTATCAGTTTAATATATTGTTTTATATTGTTTTATATTATACTTGTGTGGATTCTCTACAGTATTTTATTATAGTCAGGTGATCGTAGAAACCCTTGGTCTTCTTGTTTCTGTTACAACATTAATGCTCATTAGTAAATAGCTTGCAAAACAGTTAATTTTTATTACGTATCTTAATGTCAATACTTTTTCCCCGATTTATATCACTGATATCTTTCGAAATTTCTGCTCATAAACACTCTTAACATTAATTAACTTCCAGTTCAATGCAGAGACGAGAAGATATATTGTTACGTAACAACTCAAACGCAGTCCCCGAGCATATACAGTTCGATCTAATTTGGCTCTGTAAATGCTCGGGTTCTCTCTATACATTCTATTGAGAAATATGTCAGAATATGATGACACTTATATGTAATGATTCTAATTATTTTTGTATGATCATTTACTTGATCCATGTACTGTTGCCAATATGGCTTATGATACAGCTGGCAATAGAAAAGATCTGAGAGAGAGAGAGAGAGAGAGAGAGAGAGTTTGAGAGAGAGTTTACATGTATGTGCATGGTTTGGTATTCTGCATGTAATTATTCTGCAATTTTGTAGTACATTGTTCCACGGCGATCAGGTGTGCTAAATTATTGATTAGAACAAGAATATCAACAGAAAAATAACATCACAGATATCGTTGGCTTGAGTATCAAGTGAAAGAACTTCCGAAACATTATTGAAAAGGAAATGATATGTGGTCATTAATTCTAAATACTGTGAGTTGAACCTAAAAGATCGAAAAGTGCCACATTCTTTCTTGATTGTTTTCATTTGCTTTTATGTTTTTATTTTACTTTTTTTCTTTTTAGTTTATTCTCAAAAAATCATATTATGTATTGATTGAATTGGCTAAATGCGTTTCTTGGCACCCCCAAAACAAACTGTTTGTCTGAAATTATTATGCCGAAAGCAACAGTTTGGTTCGAGGGTTTGGCATAACGCTTCCCGCTCGAAAATTCAGTCAAGAAATATAATGTTATACCTTTTACTTTTAAGATATTTCGTCCCTTGCTATGCTTGTTGTGATAACGACAAAATTTTGAAGTAAAGAGGATTCTCAAGTTTAATGAAAGTTGTATTCACGTGTTCTTTCATAACTTTCAATGTTTCCAGTACTTTGAATTTAGGTTGACTTCTTTCGAGTAAAAATGCATGAAATATTTGTTTTGTTTATTTAACAATTAGACATGTGCTCTAACTGAAAGTTAAGAATATAAAATAATCTATATAAGCTGATAGCTTCATTTTCATTTATTAGATTTTCCTGCAAATATGTAAAAATAAAGCGAAAATTTTTATTTTACTTGTCATAAACACCTTAAACCAAATTCATTATCTGGAAGTCACTTTTATGTTTATAAGAAGTTAGCATGTAATTTTGGTGTTAATTTAAGGTGGATATAACATGTACATGAGTTGCTTAACACACCCACCCTCTTGAGTTGTCCCATTACTCTAATGCTAATGCGGACTGATAGTACATTACTTTGTGACCATAAATCATAACAAATACTATAGCACTAGCATCATTAACCAATCAACATATATCATTTTAAAAATAGATCATTAGCCTACTGATTCATGCAGTTTTGAAAGGAAGACATACTACTTGAAAATTTGAAGTCATTGTAGGCCGCAAAATGGCCATATAGAAAATAGTTCTTTCGTTATCCCCCTTTACAGATTTAACACGGTGAATTTTGCAACTGTAGAACGTCAACGAATGCAAATTAGATAAATATAGCTGATCCAGCCTACTTTGAAGCGTAGACTGTGACGTAAAAAAAGTCATATCGGTCCAACAAATCATCAACCAGTCACACATCTTACCAAACAAGTCACTATCGATGTTTTATCGTACAGTTAAACATTAGATTAGTTAGACTTTTTAAAGAATCTATACTTATAAATTAATAAAGTTTGCAAATAAACTCCGAAACGGGTGCACTAGAGTTCTTACTTACTTCTCTAAGAATAAACTAGATACAAGATGATGTCCGTAAACTATATTTAGATTTCACTCGCATAGTAAGTATCGTACATTAAATTGAATGTCTACTTTCATTTTCTATAAACAGCCATGAAATAGCAAAAATGTGAGTACGGCGGCGTTTCCGGTTGGCGGATCTAAGTTACTGGCAATTTTTAATGAAACTGACAACAAGCAATCGTTTATTTATTTCATAAAACGTCATCACTGAATTATTCAATCAAAACTCGATTTAAATCATATAAAAGAATTAAGTTATGATATCCGATTAAAAAGGGAAATGTCCAAATTATTTTTGTCATTCACCGATCTTAATAACACCGGAAGCTTCTAGAACATCATAAAGCATATTGCCCGATGTTAAAAAGAAAAAAAAACGAGGCGATTGTAGCTGCATGAACATAAAAAAGCTTTTGTGTGAATTGTCATTGAAATAATGGTAAATCATTGATAACACTATAAGCTGTGAATATATTTATATATCGAAAGACTATTACATATATGTAGTAGGTTTTCCTAATAAATTTATCGGTAAAATCTGTATGTATACATTCCTTACGGAGAGCATCGTGGCAACGAAACCGAAGCACAATTTGTACTTCGTAGTAAACTTGCTTACATGAAAAGAGAAAATTAATGAATAAGGTATTGTTCAAATACAATTATAAATGTAAAATTTTGTGTTTTAATCAATGCATTTCATTTTTTCCCTTCTGAATACAGGCTTAAATACTCGGCCTAATCATAGAGCGTTAAAAGTTTAATTTTTACACAGCTTTATAAATATGTATGTACAATATATTTTCTGTCGGTAGTGGTATATATCGCGGGATTACATCTAGTAGATTTATATAAGAAACAATTTAAGAGGTTTAATGATAAACATTAATGCTCAGATTACGGTTTTAGGTGTATCGTATGACAAAAAAGTTGAGATGGGGAGATATAACCCCGGTCATGTTTTTTTTCATTGTTATTATTTCAATCGGTTATGCGTCTGCTATTCGACTACAAAATACATGTGTGAGAATTGTACTAAAATCAACGTATGTTTTAACAAACATTTCCTTTTTATAAATCATTTATTTATTGTAAACTAAAATATCCAGACATGTGTAATGTACTTTCAAAAGTTGAAAACTGGACCATGGTGGAATATTATTTTATTATGCTCCTCTTCACTAGAAAATTGTTTTGTCATGATAGCATTTTAAGGGGCAGTTCAGGGAAAAGGCTAAGACTGTCAATGCCTGGTAAACCAAATGTCAAACTTCCTTTTCAGAATTAGAAAGTGGTTTTCACAGATTATGAAGAAATTATAAATCTCTTTAGCCGTCTCAATTGGTTGTCAAAGATATTGTAAGGAAAGGGCACTCAAATGTGTCCACAACCCCTCATGTGTTCACATGATTTTTGGCCTTCTGGTAGAGTACTTTTTGAGGACCTATCAGGGATTTTTAGAAGAGCCATTTCCCAAGTAAGATTTCAACTTTGGCCGACACATAATATTACTTGACAAAAAGTAGCACTGAGACACAGACATATATTTAAAAGCCAGAGTTTAAAAGGGAGAGGAAACAAGGCGTAATAACGAAAAACTAACATTAAAAAAGTCGCGATGTTTCTTTTTTTATTATTATTTACTTATCTTACTTAAACGCTATCTAGTAGATTAAATTGTTTAACAACAGTCGCCTTCATTTCATGAGTCTTTAAGACTTTTTCATCATTCAATGTAAATTATAAACTGCAGAATATTGCTGCACATAACATAAATGGGGGGGGGGGGGGGGGAGGGATTTGGGGAAAATTGATTGAAAGAAAAAGGAACAGCCGCAATACCTATTTGGAAGGAAACAGGGCTTTGATCAGCAAACAAATAAAAAATATAAACAAGAGGCCCATGGGCCACAACGCTCAACTAACTATAGCCCTTCTTGTTCTTCATCAGCGGATTCTTTTTCGTATATATATATATATATATATATATATATATATATATATATATATATATATATATATATATATATATATATATATATATATATATATGGTTAAATGCACTCCGTCATGGTCAAAATTGGCGGCCGCAATGATTAATTTTTTTTATTGCAATTTAGTATTGACACCTACGTCCAAATGACTTATGAAGTTAATGAGCAGAAATCTCCTTATAAAAAGATTTAATTTTTCTGTACTACATGTAATTTTGGGAATTGTGACATATGTTAAGTGTAATGATATATGCATGCAAAAAAAAAAAAAAAAAAAAAAAAGAAGAAGCTCAGGACAGTAACTATGGTAAGGATTTCTCATAATTGACAAGCACCTGGGTACATACCTCTAATTATTTTTAGAATCGGTAGGGGAAGAAAGTAGTGCAGAAAAAATTACAAGTTCCTTAATTTGCAGACCTGAATAAAAAAAACTGTGATAATGTATTAAACTGAGCCTCATACTTGTTGATAAGGAGTATGTTCCCTTGCAAAAAAGCTTGGCAGATGTAATTTATCAATAAGATCAGCAGAATTATTTTATGTATTATAACACCAGTGAGAAGTCTGGAATTCCCCTACTTTCACTTTCATTTTCAGAGGTTAACGCAGACAGACGCATTTTGCCGGAAAACGAATCTGACATGCCACCTCGAGATTTTAACCAAGGAAAGACAACTTGATGTGCTTTGATTTGAGGGGTCACTCACTGCTGAACGAAAATTAGGGACATTGCTATGTGAAGAAACGTTAACATTGTCGCCTATGGGAAAACAATTAGTGGACTGTACCCAATATGTGGAGCCTATTGGTAAGAGAAAATTCTCATAGATCTTTATTTTGTTTTGAACTCGGTGTTTACTATCATTTCCAATTGTTTAGATTTATGAAGGAAGCACATTCCAATTTGTTTATACATATTTTGAATCAAATTTGATTTGTTAATAACCCCCCCCCCCCCTTACCCCCTTAGGAACAGACAGCTTATGCTCATATCTTCCATTGTGTACACATGTACATGTAGCATGTAAATTAAATGTATGGATTTTATGCAATTTATTAATCCAGAGCCATTAATAGATATTTAGAAAAAGAACAGTTATTTTAGAAGTACATCCACCATTATTGTTTATTTTCAATACACAAAAATTCACAAATGAGGTCGGAATCAGTATTCAGTGAAGTTCAAGGTCAAAGTGAAAGTAGAGTGGCAGTAAGTTATCGAAACTGCTTAGTGCTACCTAGTGCAGAGTCTTGCAGTATGTAGGTGATATGCACTTGTCATTTTATGAAAGAGGTAAAGAAAAAGAAAGGTTTCCATGCCTTATTACAATATTTGTAAATGAAAACTTTTATTTTCATGGAATAGAATTACATGAATGAGGACATAGTATACATGTGCATTCTTTCAAAGAAGTTGGTCAGGCTACAGTTCTGTGGAAGTTAAGCAGTGTGTGCGTGAACATGCACACTAACATTTTTTTTTATATTTTACATGTATTAACTGCATTACATGTATTTGTCTAATGTATAATTATTGTCAGTAAACATGCTTTTTACCTGTATTATTAATTTACATGTAATTTAACAATGTTGAGACTAATCAGTGCAAATTCATAATTTTCAACTGATATTAGATTATGGGCATAAAAGGAATGTGGTAGGATTGTGTGTGTTTGGTGTCTGTCTGTGAATGTTTTAGGTGCTTTTGATGCTGATAAATTATTGCACCATTTTTTAAATTGATTTTTTTTTAGGTTCATGGTGATACAGGACAACTTCGAGGTTCATGCAGATGGTGTTTAAAGCTATCAGTCAGTAAAAACAAACTCATTTGAACACATCTTGAGTCTTCACATGTAAAATGATGGCAGTACTTTCAATATGTAAGTTGAATTTTCTAAAGCTTCTTTGTGTGTGTGTGTGTGGGGGGGGGGGGGGGTGGAGGGGAGGGAGGTGGTGTTAAAGCTTAGAAAATGTAGATTTTAAATGAATATTTGAGCTATGAAAGTGACCATCAAACTAATCTGTACGTGTATGCTATATATTTTACAGCTAATATAATTTGAAAAGAATTTCAAAACAATATTTAACATTCATAGTATTGTGTATGATAAAATATTAAGATTAAAAAATATAACAGTTAAAATTTCTTTAATATTTGTCAGTCAAAACGAGCGACTTGTAAGGAAATTCAAAATTTTCAAAGTTCTCTTTCATTTTTCTACAAATTACAAAATGGTTACCATGGAAACAAAACATTTTCTGTAGACTATTTATTTGATCTGCTCATGCTAGTATTTTTATTATCTTATAGTTATAATGAATATTTTAGTTCTAATTTCATCTTTAATTAAAAGTACGGGAAAAGTAACACTACATGTGTAATAAGCAATCCATTATTATGATGTCATTATGACGTCATAGATGAGTGAACTTGCATTGGCGTAAAAATTGCTTTGAAACAGATGAATGTACACAAGAATATATAGGCTTATAACTTTTTTATTCCTACACCAATTTTCTTGAATGATACATCAATGGACAGGAAATAATCAGTACTTTCTATTTTTACTACTTTTGGGGTATTTGTAAACTTAATTTTTTTGTCTATCATGGAGAAACAATGAATTCAAGAGCGAGGGATGATCAAATTTTGTGCGAAAATGCATTGATTTTTTGAAATAAGAGAAATGGACCCATATGAGTGCTTGATTGTAATTTTGCTTGATGTATTTAAAGTCATGAAAGAGAATAAAAGTGGTATAAGTACATTAATAGGCTAACCGATGACTTAAAATGTGGGTGCAGTTGTGGCTAGATGGAAGCATTTTTAAAGGATTTTGCATATAGAACTGTGCATGCTGTAAAATCTTTATTAATGATTGAATTTTCCTGAAATTTGGCATAGTGTCACTACATAGACTGTAGTATGACTTATGATGTAAAATGTTGTAAAATCCAGAAAATACTTTTTCATATTGGGTACATACCTCTAATTATTTTTAGAATCGGTAGGGGAAGAAAGTAGTGCAGAAAAAATTACAAGTTCCTTAATTTGCAGACCTGAATAAAAAAAACTGTGATAATGTATTAAACTGAGCCTCATACTTGTTGATAAGGAGTATGTTCCCTTGCAAAAAAGCTTGGCAGATGTAATTTATCAATAAGATCAGCAGAATTATTTTATGTATTATAACACCAGTGAGAAGTCTGGAATTCCCCTACTTTCACTTTCATTTTCAGAGGTTAACGCAGACAGACGCATTTTGCCGGAAAACGAATCTGACATGCCACCTCGAGATTTTAACCAAGGAAAGACAACTTGATGTGCTTTGATTTGAGGGGTCACTCACTGCTGAACGAAAATTAGGGACATTGCTATGTGAAGAAATGTTAACATTGTCGCCTATGGGAAAACAATTAGTGGACTGTACCCACCTGAACCGTTTCTGTGACAAGAAAGAATTTATCAAAGATGAAAGTTAACAGGGAGTGCCACTATACCCAGTAAATAAAGTAAGTAATTACAACAAGTAAATATCAAACTGAATTTGTTTTTATTTGGCTGAATGGGCCATGGCCGCTTAAAATGAGGGAGCCGAGGCATCAATATATAGCCTTATATGGCATCCCTTAAAATGCAAATGGTGAACCCTGGGAACAGATGTTCACAGCATAATAATTGAGTTTCAGACAAAATAATCGGATATATATCAAGCAAGTCCATTGAGCCTACTGGTAAGCCTGAAAGCCGCCACGAGACTATGCGGTGGCATAGTCTGCGCCACCAGTAGCTTCGATAGAAAACCCCCCATCCCCAAACAAAACAAATAATGCATTCCCAATTAACAGCAAGTAATAACAATAAAAAATTGCAGTTTGCCAACACAATTTTTTTATGGCAAAAGCATCGCCTGCATTGCAAATTTCAACAAAACTGGGTATGTAAATGCAAATGAGTAGCACTCATAAATTCAATGCAGCCACCAATTTGTGGCAAACTATGACCCACTAACTAGTCATAGCGCAGCCAAGGCCCAAACTCCCCTAGATTTGGTGACAATTTTTTTCAGAAGGATTTGTTAAAAATGTCTGCAAGCCTTGTTGAAGGCGATACAAAAACATACGGTTGCCAAGCTCGGACAAGTGCACTCCATCGGGAGCAAACAATTCTGGACTTGTCAATTGGATTTCGGGATAACGAATATACTTCCCCCCGGACCTAATTAATGTCGTAGCAATGAAACTATTCAGGCGTTTTCTAACCTTGTTCAAGGCTTTTTGGTTAATACCGCCACGCCAATGCTGGCGGGGAAGGATTTGAGACCACACTAAAATGGTATCTGGCAACAGCTTAGCCAAGCTGACCAAGGTTGTGTTAATATTTAATCTTAATTTGATTGACTTGTCACCCCTAGCATCAGGAATATTGTTGCCTCCACAATGCAATACTAAAATCTGAGGAGGGTCTTCTAATTTTAATAAGAATTTAACCTTTGGCATAACTTCAGCCCATCTCATACCCCCCTTACCCTGCCAAAATATGGATGCATGATGCCTTTCTAGTTATGATGCCTTTCTAGTTCAAGGTTGGCTCTAAAATCTGATTGCCTTGCCTGGCAAAAGGCCTTTTCAACAATGGAAGAACCCACAATCCAAATTCTAATATGTACAATACAAAATTGAGTTGAAAAACAAGAAAAAAGGAACAATACAAAAATTTCTGTACACAATATTTCATTTCTACACCTGAGCATACATAAAAGAAAAACTGTATTCTTAGTCAGTAAAGGTAAAGCTACCTTAACTTGCTGAACTGCACATTTTGCACCATATGACATTTAAAAGCTCATTTTCTAAAATAACGGTACATACATTGAGATTTCCAACGACCCTTGACCGCTATATCTTGCTGACTCGTACCACTAGCCCAAGCATGGGAAGCAGCACCAATACGGAAGGAATGGGTCTTGTAAGTTTTAGTATCTAAGCCTAACATTTCTATAGCCTTTTTAAATACAGACTCTGCCTGATACCTGGTCACTGGACAGCCTGACAGATGAATGAAAAAAACCCCATAAGCATGTGGTCTTAAAAGTAAATATTTGCGCAGAAACTGAATTGGGCAGATTGGACTAGAAGGAATTAATGTGATTGTGGCCCCATTCCCTTCTTGATCAGTTTTGAAGTGACTTAAGGACATTACAATAGTATTGTTGGTTGTTAATCTGACATCACCTGCTTGGATAGCATGACCGGGTTGGTCTTTAGAATCCTGAACGAGCTCCCCAATTCTAAAGTAACCAAAAAATGCCGAGCAAAACAGTGCACTAAATAACACAGACTCATAGTCAGATCTACATACTTGGGGGAGGATAGACAAAATGCTTTGAAGTATGTTGATAGTGATAGGTTTGCAAATGTCCTTCCTAGCGCTAAGGCGACCCCACCCAAGTAGAACCTTCTGTAACATAAACGATTTTGTTGTATCTAGTAAACCTTGGATTTTGCAAAAATAAGATATTGCAGCCATATATGTTTTAACTGTGCTTGGTGAGAACTGCTTAAATGAAAGATAAGCTTCAAAATGAATTAGGTCTTTAGAATTTGGTGGTCAACATTAATTACACTTGTACACTTCGCAGAAATAACTGAACTGCTGCAATGCTGTCTGATATAGCTTTTTCGTGTTTACTGATAGGGAAAAGTTTAACAATTCTTGGGCTCGATGTTGTAGATGAGTCTGAGAAAAGATTCTTGGACTGTCGTAGGTAGTTGGTCGGCTTCTGGAAAGACCTGTCTGAATCTGTGCCACTGAAGACGAGAAAGAGAATCAGTCTTAACATTTTTCACTCCCCTAATATGCTGCCCTTTAAATTGAATATTGTTCATGAGGCCCTTCAAGACCAAAACACTTAAAGGTGCATAGACACAGATTTGAAGTTTATAGTTTCTCAAATTTTCTATATAATATCACAACTTATATATTGCTATAGCATTTCACACGAAAATAAAATTAAAAACTTATTTAATCTGGAAATTATTGAAACTACGAATTTCGGGAGGCGTTTGATTAACACATTCTTGCACTTTCACAATTTTTAACTTTATCCTTAATACTTAAGAAAAGTAGCAATTTTGTTGTACAACTCAACATATTAACGAATAATATTACATCTATAATCCAGAAAATTCAGAGTAAAAATGTGCGACAACAAAACCCACTCACTTAAGTATTGTCAGCCCGTGCTCGGTGTTGTGTAGTTATGTACAGAGTTTAACAAATTGAATACACCCGTGAAACGTAAACTGTTTTTGTAAACAGGGCACGAGCTCTGTTGTTGTTAATGTTTACGTTTCACCGGGTGTGTTCAATTGTTAAACTCTGCACACACCACTGAGCACGGACTGACAATACTGGTGAGAGGATTTTGCTTCTACATTTCTACTCTGAAATTTCTGCATTATAGTTTTAACATTTTTCATTAATAAACAAGAAAATTGCTACTTTTCTAAGGTAATAAGGATAAAGTTAAAATTTGTGAAAATGCAAGATTGTGTCTATCAAACGCGTCCAGAAATTCGAAGTTTCAATAACTTCCAGATAAAATAAGATTTTTATCAAATTTTCGTATGAAATGCTATAGCAACATGTAAGTCATGAAATTATACAGAAAATTTGAGTAAATATTAACTTCAAATCTGTGTCTAAGCACCTTTAAGAGATGCATAATTTTGGGTGATTTGGATGTTTTAGTATTTAAAATAGTGACAAGTGCAATATTGTCAGTATGTAAAATAACTCGCTTTTCCCCCAACTGATCTCCCCAAGTAGACAATGCCATTGCTAAGGGTACCAGTTCCAAAAAGGTAATGTCCCTTAATATGCTAGTCCCTTGCCAAGATTCTGGCCATGTAAAAAAAGCCCAATGAGTTCCAAAAATAGCCCCACACCCTAGTTTATCCGAACCAGCGCTATCTGTATACAACTCTAATTGAAAGTCACTGGCCAAGTCTACTTGTCTATATGATGTTGTACCATTGAAAGTTTCTAGGAACATTAGCCAAATTTGTATATCTTGCTTCATTTCCTGAGTAACGTGTCTCTTGTGATAAGGCTTGCTAAGCCCAACAGTGGCATCATACAAGCGCCTGATGAATGCTCGACCCGCTGGAATTCCCCTAATGCAGAAATTTAGAAGGCCAGTGAGGGACTGGATTTCCCTAACTGTAACTTTTTTACGAGATAGGAAATAACTGAGCTGATCATAAAGCTGACCCAGCTTCTCAGAGGGGATACTAACAGTCTCTGTGACTATATCAATTTCCAAGCCTAAAAATACCAATTTTGTTGTAGGGCCTAAGGTTTCTTCGTGGGCTAATGGGACCCCCAAATCATTGCATAGATTGGTAAATGTTGAGACTAAATAATGACACTGCCTTTTCCCAGATGCACCTGCTAGTAAAAAATCATACAAATAGTGGACTACATTATCAGATTGACTCTTTTGCTTTAAACACCATTCCAGAAAGGAAGCAAACTTTTCAAATTTAGCACAACTCACAGAACAGCCGAATGGCATACACTTGTCGATAAAAATACTGCTGTTGATTTTGTACCCTAGCAACTCAAAATCAGAGGGATGAATTGGTAGCAAACGGAAAGCATTCTTAATGTCTAAACGAGCCATAAAAGTTCCTGGACCTAACTTTTCCAACATTCTCAAAGCTTCATCAAATGATGTGTATTTAACTGAACAATACTGAGGATCAATGAAGTCATTCACACTATCACCAACTGGGTGGGACAAATGATGAATAAGACGAAATGTACCATCATTTTTAGGTACCATACCTATGGGGGACAGTCTTAGGTTGAGAAATGGAGGGCAGAAAAATGGGCCAGCAACCCGACCTAAACTTATTTCTTTATTGACTAATTGTATGGCTTCTGTAGTAAGTGAATTCAAAGACTTAAGATTTTTACAGTTGTATGGCTGTCTAAGACCTTGGTAATTTAATTTAAAACCAAATTGAAACCCTTGCAATAGTTCATGTGCATTTTCTGTGTCAGGATAATTAGTCAAACAATCTGATAAAACTGAAGTCTTGATTGGACTGTAAGCAATACTACTGATGTCTAACTGGTGTTGAGGAGGGGGTTCTGAAACTGCTAGTATCTGGCTTGACTGTTGATTGAGCACGCCAGGTTGACTGAGAGTTCCCAGATCTAAAATTTAATGAATTTCTAGTAGTGGTTCTACACATTGTAAAGGGATTGGGTTGTGAACATAAAATGCACCACTGCCTATATTGGCAGTTTTGCCTTGAACAATAACCCTTGTAGTTGAAATCATAACACTTTGAGGGTTGGGATGGCTGAATAGCAGGCTGTCGGTGAAGGGCATTATATACATGTAAAGGAGCCAAAGCTCCT